AAGACGCGCATGTGCTCTCGTTCTCCCTAGTCATCCATAGATAGACTTATAGTCCACTTTGTGGGTGCTGTGGCTCAGCCTGGCAAGCCTCGGACGGAGACGAACTCAGCAGCTATGGGCGAGGAGTGGAGGATTTAAGAGCTTAGGTAGTGGCCGTTTCTGCCCAACCTCCTCTCACCCCGTGTTGTAGGACGGCATATGAAGTACGTACTCCGTACTTGCTGCTAACTGCTCTGTATTGACGCTGATTCTAACTCTCTCATGTCTCCTACTCGGATCATGGTGGCTCGGACTTCGTCGTATTGCTTCTCCCTAGCACTTCTCTTGGTTTCGCGGGTCTGGTCTGTTGAGGGTAGTAATGGGTTCAAAGCGCACATACCAATGTCCTGCGCACCGTTTTGCGCTTCATCAGATCACTGACTGGTTTTTTTGTTTGGGGCTACCGATGACTCGAATTTGCCAAGGCTTCCAAGGTGCCCAAAGGTCCAAGGTATTTGCCGAAATGTCTTGGCCGATGTTGGATGACACTTCTTCACCAATAAGGTACATGGAACCTGTGTTCATGTATATGCATGAGCGTTTTAAGTGCTGAAGGATGAATGAATGGTGGGAAATTGGAGGCAGATGGTGCTCTGCTCATTTGTCCCAGGATGGCTCAAGCAGAAGTAATAGTAGAGCGATAGCGCCAAGCAAGGAGTACTGCGTAGAATTCGAACCAGTGTGAACTTATTGCATGTGCCACTTTTGTAAATTTGCGTTGTGACTCGAAGCACAACACTGACCCTGGAGGGAGAAAATCTGTATCAAGCACTCAACCCGGGTTCATATGTAGTTACATGTATACCTTTACCTACCCAGGAACCTACCTAGGTAGGTAGACTTCTCCCGTTCCCGTACCCGAGTCTAGTCTAAGCTATTTGAACGGGATGGGCAACGTCGTGTTGATACTGTACTCCGGATTGGTCGTTCTACCTCTAGTACTGACTGCCTTGCTTTTGGCCTTGTTTTCCATTTTTATTTTGGCCGCAAGGCAAAATATACGAAGTTAGCAACAGTCGTACACCTTCACCTGAGTTGGGTGTGCAAGTCATGCACTTTATAGCACATGTACTTACTATCTGGCGATGCTCTGTCAGTCATAATCCCTGTAGAGCGGCAAGTCCATGTAGCTCACTCAACTGGCTGACTTCGGTTTGTCTACAGAAGACGCTGAGCATCAGCGGTCGAACAGCGTCCTAGCGAGAGAGATAAAAACACTCATATGGGTGCCCAAGTTCTGAGCACGCGGATCGATCTGGACTCGTCTCCCCGCGAGGCTTGTCAGCGGACCTGGCTGGCTTCTGAGTATGTCCTTGGTCCCTGGCAATGGCGGATTGGCGGTGGACCACGACGGGCCACGGTGAGAAGAGATCCGTTTGGATCATTTATGGTCGTGCCAGCTACAACTAAGAGCAGCACCTAGGGCACCTAAATAGTTGCTTGTTTATGTTGTGATCATGCACATGTAGTGTAGTCCGTTGGAACCGACGTATGAAAGATGATGTGCAGGCCACTCAGGGTCCTTGGTCGTCTGTAATAGGGCCAACAGTCTCACGAGTGTCGAGAGTCTTGAGCGACAGTGGGTGGTATTGACATCTTGTCCACGGACTGATTGGCTTTTTCGTCGCAGATTGCGGAAAAGCTGTTGCGGCCACAGGAACATGGACCGAAGTACGGAGTGCAGGCAAGGCTACGGAGTTGGAGCATAGCTTCGCAAGATTCTTGGACATTGTAGTTTGTCGGGCTTGTGGACCTGTCAGTCGACGACATTCTTGGTTGTACTTGCCCAAGAGCATGGCTCTGGCCTGTGTGCTCTTGCCTCCGATGACAAGATACATGTGCCTTGCCCACGCTTGCACTAGTCAAGAAGTCGCGCCGCTCAGTCCCACTTGCCCTCTCTCACGGGGCCTGCCTGCTTCACTGATTCTCTGTCCGTCCCGCACATGGCGGGCGGGTGGCCCTCTACTTAACGTCCATTGCAAACTCGGTGGCTGTTCAGGTCTCGTCAGGTTGAGCGGTACCTACCAGGTACCTATGTACCTCCGTACCTCCGTACAGCTCTTTTCCACAATGGTCCAGCTCGCTCCTCACACCCGCCTCATGGTCGAGCTCTCATGGCCTCCTCCACGGCTACAACGCACCACCCCCATGTCATGCCCACCCGCCCGCCGTCCAAAGCCCGCACAAAGTACATAACCTATCTGCCGCCTCCCCTCCCACTTTCTAGCGTTCCTCTATTTCATAGCCCAATATTCATCCGTCCTGTTCACGACAAAGCCTTGGTATCCCTTGTCTTCTCCTCCTTGACTTTTTTCCTCTATTGCAGACAGCACACTCTTCTGCTTACTCCGCAACTCTTACTTCTGTTGCTCCTTTATTTCTCTCGCCGGACCTACACGCTGACCGCCGCAAGATATTGAAACTGCTATTTGCTTCTCCTCGTCTATTACACGAATTTGCGAAATTTCCACAGGCCGCAATATTTATACTTACTGCTTGAGTTTGAGCTTGTATGTTTCAACTCTCAATATACCCTATTTACCATCATCAACACGGTGTGGCCCGAACCCAACTGCAACAGAGCCATCCTACACCACCGAATTTGATATCACTGCTGCGACTTATTCCCCTACTATCTAGCAATCTCACCTTTGGCTTCCCTACCTAACATGATTGGTAACTTCTGTTGCTTATTTTGGAGTCTTCCGAGCTTGAGCTTGCGTGCCCAACCCACTGCCATGATACGTCGGACGACTAATGCTGCGCTATTAGGTCAAGAGGTCTCGTAACAGCCAGTCTTCCATTCGCAATTTTCCTCCTACAGTCCGCTTCTTCCTTCTACACATCTATCGTCTTTTGGAGCTTCTGTCACGAGAAGTTTGACCAAATTCTATCGCTGCAATGGCCTCACAGTTTGCTATGCAGCCGTTTTACAGATCCACGCCTCTGACAGTGGATACCCACCACGCACAACAGAAGTATTTTGAAGAAGAGGACAAGAGCGATGTATTAGACGACGGGCTTATTGAGCACAACACTGTTGACTCCGGCCTGGATCTTTCACCACCAATGGCCAACAGCCGAAGAGAGTCCTTCGCTGTTGGTAGCACGCTCTTTCCCCCCAAGACGGAAGATTGGCAGTCTGTAGATATGCAGTCGGTGCCATCCAACCCTTTCCCGGACCAGAACGGTGGAAACAATGTGAACGGCCCTCCCAACCCTTTCATACATCCACAGGGCCAAGTTTTTTCTCAACACGGCACTCAGTGGAGTATGAGTAGCAACTCGGGGCCTGAAAACTCCATGCAGCAGTTCAACAATGTCTCTGCTACATTCGATTCTGGTAACTCTGTCTTCCAGCGACCTGTGCAAAACCATAACCCCTTCCACAGTACTGGCAACATGTTCGCATCGCTTCACCAAGGGGATCAATCTATTCCAACCTCTCCACAGAAGGAATGGATGGTCCCCGCCCAAACAATAAACAAGAAAATGCAACCCGGAAGCCCTTTAATTCGGTCACATAACGATCTGAGACGAGGAGATGGTATACGCAAGAAGAATGCCCGCTTTGACATTCCGGCTGAACGTAACCTGAGCAATATCGATTCCCTTATTTCCCAGTCCACCGATGAACAAGAGATCAAGGAGCTGAAGCAGCAAAAGCGCCTGCTGAGAAATCGCCAAGCAGCGTAAGTCTCCTGTCCACCCTCGTCCTTGCCCTTGCCTTGCAGCTACTAATATATCTCGGATAGCCTCGACTCAAGACAACGGAAGAAGCAGCACACTGAGCGACTGGAAGATGAGAAGAAGCAATACACTGCACTCATCACCGACATGGAGGAGGAGATATCGGCTTTGAAAGACAAGTTTGAGGGACTCATGCAAGAGAAGCAAGATCTCATGAGCTTTGTTGAAGGGTTACGCCTTGAGAAGGACGAAATGATTCGTGCCCACACTCTCGAGACTGGCGAACTACGAAAAAAGGTCAACGTCCTCACAGAACACGTCCAAAGACTAGAAAGCCAGTCCCTGGCTACTTCGGGCCCTGGGGCAAACGGTGGCATCCCCGATAACTTTGGCATGGAAGGGATAGGAATGCCTGGGGCTTGGGACAACCCGAACTTCCTCAATGACTATTCCACTGAACCATTACATGTTAGACCGCACGTCTCGCTTGCACCGACCAAGAAGAACGACAGTACCATCACGCCCCTCGAAGGTGAGAAAGGTGCCTCTCAGGGAGGTTTACTGTTCATGCTCTTCCTCGTCGGCGCATTTGTCATGTCCAGCCGGTCCATGCCGACCATCCCGCGCGTATCTGAAGATGTTCGCGCGGCGTCAGCAACTCTCCTTGACAATGTCCTCAAGGATGCCGGCATCAACTCGGGGTCAGCGGGAATGCAAGCCATCGCTCCCCAACCATCCGGTGCGAGTTGGGCTCATCCCCATGTCACTGGTACAGGCATGGCCGACATTAGCATGGAAGGCACCGCCCCATCGATGCTTGAAGAGCTGGGCGATTCGTTGACACAACCAACACAGGATCAGATGAACGAGCAGATCTTTTCCCTCTCAGCAGCACAATATGACGGCGTAAGCAATCAAGAATTTCTACAACATGCCCCAGAAAGATCTACAAGCCAGGGTCGCAAGAACCTCGCGGACGCCCTGACAGCAATGCGTGCAGCCAACAAACAAGGCGGTGCTGCTGACGTATACACACGCTCCCTTCTCTGGGACCAAATCCCCAGCGACGTTGTTCGAAATTTTGCTAAAATGGTTGCGGAGAGCAGCCATGCAACGAACCGCAATGATTACGACATGAAATGATACAGCAAAAATGAATCTTACGATGACGAAATATGACAGCCCTGCAACTTTTTTAATGACTGTTTTCTGGGTTTTCCTTGATTATCATTTATTTTGCCATTTTATTTTCTTCTACTTGACGAGTATACTTATTCTTGACTGTCTTCTTCGCGGACATGACTCAGCCAATCAGACCATTTGCTCACGCAACGAAGTGTTATTTTTGTGCCGACTCCGTCCTCTTGAATACTTGATGATGGAATGTTTTCATGTTTGTTACTTTTGACGAAATTTCCTTTAACTTTGATGGGTTGTTTGTTTTTAGCAAGCGAGCGAGCATTGATATTTTGTGCAAATGACTTGTTTATTTCTAGGCTTGGCGACTCGCCGTCGCCGCCTCTTTCCTTGGGTTTTATCTGGTGACTACGGGATCATGGGGCATTGGTTATATTTTATAAGATATTATCGAGAGGCTCCAGTCCGTGGTTCTTGTATATTGGATCGGAGGAAGGGCGGGAAAGTCCTGGGCTACGGAAAGCGAGGTATCAGAGAGAGATGGATTCACAGGGGGAAGGCATGTTTCTCCGAGGAAACTGGCGTATCAAATCAGCTTGGCCAGATCTGGTACACACAGAGGCTCATGATACGAGAGAGCAACGGGACACTGAAAGCCAGGAGACTGATGAGATCACCACGATCGATCAAGCGTGATGGGTGATCAACTCATTTCCTTGGCGGGTTGCAGCAGGCAAGATGCGTCTAATGCCTTGCAAGCTGGTGACCTCTATTTTTCTTTGTGGACAATGACATGATAGTGAAAACATGTTGAGATACAAATGTTTACGACAGACATCAATGAATGACAAAGCAACATAAACCACATTCATACGCTCGTCTAGCTTACTCTGAGCACTAGGTGCAAGTCCTCAAGGGCTGACTCACGTACTCGATAGCAGTGCTTGAATGTAATGTCAAAGTGTGCCTTACGTCGAGACGCATGGGAACGGAGCAGGCCAGCTCGCTTGCAGGGGAAAGTTGGAGAGTAGCATCTGTTCGCAACAACGTGACGACGAAGACAAGCGAGTAGCTGCAGGATGCACACCATAAGCAAGGTTACAGCCCCATACAAATTCCCAGAAAGACGGGAATGCAACATGTCGGAGCAAGGTGGTTGGTAGCAAACAGACAGCACGAATGCAGACTCTAAGACATCTGAAGCCAAGGGTTCCAGCTCCGCCATCCCAACGGAAAGGGAAAAAAAAAAAGAAAAAGAAAAAAAAAAAAAAAAAGAAAAAGAAAAAAAAAAAAAAAAAGGAAAAAAAAAAACCATAACCTTGACTCGCGTGAGAGCTACCTGCAAGTGTCGTCGTCATGTCGTTCTGCAAGGCGCAGCCCATTTTTGCCAGGCCGGCAAACATACCAGTTGACCTTTGTCACAAAGGCCAATGAGCGCGGAGACGCTGGGCCCAGCCACAGCGGCCACTGGTGGGGGGAAGCTAAAAATGGCAGTTTCTGGACGTTGTGATGGCCGCGGCCCGGAGGTGAGACACGGGGGTTTGCTTGTCTTAGACACCGTCCTAGACAGGGTGGTCTCACACCGCTTGCGCATGTGCCTCGATCTTGGGCTATCGTGACCTTGGCGCGGGTGCGGGTTGGCTGGATTTTTCGGGGTTTTGGTCTCCTGGGCTGGTGGCGCGTCAAATGATGCCGGGCACGGAGTACGTATCTAGGTAGTTGGATGGTGGCGAGACGGACAGGGCAGCACGTTTGCATGATGGATTTGGTTGATTGGCGACGTATCTGAATTCGCGAGGGAGGAGACGCAATGCACACCGCAACGTGAACGTTTAGAAAACAGGCTTCATCACCGGACACCAAGCTGCCTGGTCCCTGGATGCGGTTTCTTTCCTTCTTTTTACATGGGTTCGCGTATGTGCGCAGAGATGTGTACGAACGGGGGTCAAGCGTGCTTCTGGCAGAAAATGCCACAAACGCAAAGGACATGACAAACGGGCACCTAATAGTTTTGGGAATTGACAAATTTGTATTTCGTCACGAGTAAGGAGAGGTAATGTCCCGCTAACAGCTACCTATTTAAAAGAAGAAGAAGAAAAGAATATGAATAGATACAATGTTCCCCCTAGGTCCCCATGTGCCTAGTATGCAAAGAAGGGCAAAAATGTGGCTTTGATGCCTTCACGAAATATACGACGGGCTACTTTTGTTTTTCTGGAGGGTCGTACTTGGGTTTCCAGATCCTGCTCACGCGGTCAACAGGCTGCCACCACAATCCCCACGGCCCCTCCCCCAAGGAACAAATACGAAGCAGATACATGAGGGGGGACTATAGAAAAGAAGGCCGGAAGAATAAGAAGAAGAGGGGAGGAGGGAACACTCACCATGAATTTCCGATAGTCTTGTTGCCGGCTTCTTCGGCTTGTCGAAAGTACCGGGCCGCGGTGTACTGTGCAGAGTCCAGAATTAGCCTCGTGCTTGCGAGTGAGGGCATGACTGGTGACGGTGACATGTGGCGGGGAGGATGCCGATTTGCACAACCAAGAAAAAAAAAACACTATAATTAGGCCTCCAGTTGATGCTGGTATTTTGGTGAGGGTAAACACGAGCGCTTGTACCCAACGGCGGTTTTGCGTGACACGTTGGGCATCAAAGGCGGGGGAGAAAACAATGTCAGGCGTGCAAAATGCGGACTTTTTGTTTTGTGTCACGCAAATGCCGCAGCGACCTTTTTTCCAATATTCTCCGCCACCCCTTGTACGCATGCGTGTGTGCGTATGTTGCGACTTGTGCATGATTTATTGTTTTTCGGTATGCACTGCTGTGCCGGAAGAACGGGCGTGTATGTGTAAGTCTGGAGGCGGGAGGCATTCGTGACTGACCTTGTCCTTTTCACCACCGATTCCATTGAGGTAGCAAAAGGCAGCTTCGTTCATAGCGTCTGTTGAAGCTTTTGTTAGTGTACCGGTTGGCCTTGGGAGTGACTGCTGCGGCGAGACTTGCCGCTATCTCCGAGGTTTGCTGCCGTTTCGTAATACTAAAGGGGAAACGTTAGCCTTGTGTGTGCTTTGGCGGTATTGTGGCATGGTTTCATCGAGACTCACCTGCCTCGCGGCGACAAAGTCCTTCTTGATGCCCCAGCCGTGGCGGAAGCAGTTGCCGAGTTCGAATATCGCCATGACCAACTCCCCCTTGGCGGCGCCGCCCTTCTTCATGCCCGCCTGGAGGGCAAGCTGCTCGATGGCGGCCGAGTTGGACGCCGCCGCGGTGAGATAGGTGATGGCCTTGGCCGGATCAGGGTCGCAGCCCCATCCGTGTCTGCGGGAGAAGGGCAAAACACACGGGCGTCAGCAGCTTTTGCCACGACGTCTTGGTAAATTTCACGATGCAGGGCATACAGGCGCTCTTACCGCAACGCAAGACCGTACAGAACCTGGCTCAGCGGGTTGTTCGGCCCCTGCGGATCGGCCAGCCGTCCGAATATCTTGGTCGACTGCTCCAGGTCCCCCTCCTCGTGTAACCGGATGGCTTGCTGGATATCGTCATCTATGGCCTTTGACGAGCTGGCACTCCTCTTCCTCCCGGTGCTCCCAGGCGCCAGGCTCATCCGCGACACGCCCTCGGAGGGGACAGGCGACGCGGGCCTTCCACGGGCGAGTTCATTCTGTCCCGCCAGCATCGTCGCCCGCTGCTCCCACTGCGACTCGTCGGCCGGGTCGGAGCGCGTGATCGCGGGCAGGTTCTCGGGGACATTCTCGGAAGACTCGGCCTGCCTGCTCAGGTGCAGTCGCTCCGAGAGGCGCCGTCTAGAAGAGTGGCTCGTCTGCGAGGACACGGACTCGCTGCGCGATCGACTTGATCGAAAGACGTCGAGGCTCCGGCGGGGCGACGAACGCACCGAAGTCTTGGGCGAGAGCAGCTTCTTCTGCTCCTGGCCGTCATTGGGGGGTCGAATGATTTCCTGGCCGGCGGTATCTGTCCGAATAAATGTGAACTCGGCGGCGTCCACCCTGCGCCCGCCATCCTCCCCTGCCGAGTCCGTGTTGTCGTCGGACTGATCCTTCTTCTTAAGCTTGTCGAGGAGACCCATGGTGCCGCCCTGCCTCGAGCTTCTCCAAGTTGTGCTGTTGTATTTGACTCTACGGTCCGCACAACGACTGCCTCTTCTTCTTTTTTTATAAGTAAAAAGAAGGGGGGGGAAAGGGGAAAAAAAGCTGAACACGTAGTTTCTGACAAGGAGTAGGCGCGCATTTATTCTCCTCCCACCCGTGTGACGTTCGTTGTCTGCCGCTCGCGGGCCGTTACGTCGTAAGCTGAGGCACTGCCAGGCAAGCCTTCACACCGAGGGGCTGAGCTGTGGCAGTAACCGCTGAACTTGTTCCTTCACGAGCTGGTACAATGCAGATGCAACAAAGCAGCATCCCCAATCAGGCCATGAGTTTCTTTTGCGACAGGTGCCACAATCGCATTGTTTTACCCAACACCTGATGCCGATATAGAAAGGGTCGGGTCGTATGTATGCAGCAACTGTTGAGGACAAGCGACTGGTGTTTCACGTTGGGCTGACAAAGGCCAGTCTTTTTGGGTCGACTGGTGGGGTGTGCTCCTTATATGTATTTTAAAGTGTCTGTAGTGTTGAAAGACCATCATGTTTCATGCTCGGCCCATCTGGACCGATGCAATTCTTGTCCCACGCGTTGGCAAGTAAAAATGGTAATTATGCTGTCTATCAACCTTGACGCAAATGTGGACCGTGACGTCTCTTATAAGCGCATTGGTGTGCGAGCGAGTGAACATACCAAGCCAAGGAACAATACACATCTCAACGTGGTCCTTGACACGTCAAAAAGCACATGCCAGACTTGGCAGAGTAAGCTCTAGGTGGATTCTAAATTTAAATGAACTTTTTTTTTTTTCGCATTCACAAGTATATCATCTATCGTAACCCTTTTCTTTATCACACCGTCTCTTCGCACCTGTTCCGCTACAGCGTGCTTCAAAGGTGGCCATGTCATCAACAATGTGCCATCCACGGCCGACAACCCTCCCCCGTCTACCTAGGTGTGGCAAGGACCAGGCCAAGCCGAGTTAAATGACAAGGGGTAGCGTGCATATAACGCTCCGTTGCATTGATTGCATGAGCTCAACGCCCCAAGCTCGCACAAATGGGTAGCGTGCTAAAAGTCATATCAAATCTAGAGGGGTATAAAGTCCTTTTGGTTCTCAAAGTCAGAGTCGTCTGATTCTGCTTCGATGAATTCTGCAACCTCATCTGAGTCAACGTCATCTGAATCCACTGCTTCTTCGTCGCTGGAAACATCTTCATCCATAGCGCCGTTGGCTTTGGCCTGGTTTCGCAGGACGCTTGCCCTTTCACGGTGGAGGAGTTTACATCCTTTAGTCTTGCAGATCCCGGTATTGCTAAAGTCAGGGCATTCGAAAACATGACGCTCAGTGCAGGAAGCTCCCTTGTCACAGTAGCCGTAGAAGCCAAATGCCTCGCAAACCAAAGCACCGGGCGCTGCTCTGGAGTGCGTGTACGGACAATCGGCCTTTGTGCAGTGGCCTTTTGCATAGTGCAAGCAATTCGGGACGCGTTCGGGAGAAACATCATGGGAAAGGTCGCACGACTCGCCGTTGGGACACTTGCCATCCTTTAAAAGGTCTTTGCATACAGCCACTCTGGTAGGATCATGTTGATATCGGCAAGATGGGCCTTTAGGGCAGGAACCTACAAAAAGTATCGTCGTTAGTGTATACCCATAGCCAGCCCCGCGTCTCGGGGCTATCTCGTTTGCTGAGAGCGCTGGTTCGATCCATTTGGAAATATCTATTACCGGTCGTTGAGAATGTTTTGCAAGGTTGGAGAGCCTTTTTTAGAACTCCACATCGACTGTCCAATGTCAGTACTTCGCTCATTATGGCGCTGGCGACATACCGTTGGTCTTGAACGATTCTGTTGGCCACAAGGTTACCAGTTTTCGTCCGATGGAATCTGACACCGGCGATGACAGCCGTCTTTGGAGTGGCAGAATGCTGATCTATAAAGAGTGAGAAAAAAAAGAGAAGAAGGCAGTCCATTAGTAATGTTCGACAGAGAGCTGTGCTGATACCATGTGTACCCGCTTACCTGATGATTTAACAAGCTTCTTGCCGCCATCGGCTACTTGGAAACGAATGCCCTCAACCACAATCTCAATTTTGCCTACACCGGGTTTGGAGTTAGCAACCGCGTTAGTCGCGCTGGCCTGATGGCGCAAAAAATCCTTCAGTTGAATTTTTTCGCGCATCTTCCGATCCTGCAGCTTCTTCTGCCTCGTCTCTTCAATCGCTTTGACGCGGTTCTGGGTATCTTTCTCATAGACGTTGGCATTGATTAGCTGTCGATGTCGGTCGTTTCTAGATACCCAGCCACTGCTTCCAGGTGTTGAAGCCGGACTTGAAGTATTAGAATCAGATGGTGGCCGAGATTGGTTGAGGTGAAGCGTCCGATGGCGGTGGTTGTTTTGCGCTCGCCCAACTCTATATGCCGAGCCATGATAAGCGCTGCGTGGGCGATATGTATTTCCCCCTTCTCTGAAATCAGCACCATAACGACTCGCTGTATTAACTGCAAACGGACTTCGATAGTCACTTGCTTGGCGGCTCGAGGTGGCCCCGACTCCAGCCTGTTGACTTTTGTGTCTGTTGATTTGGCCTGGATGGGGTCAGTGGCAAAATAGACGTGATGGAACAAGGGAAAGTAGACATACCCGCTAGTTGCCCGATGCGAGCCAGAAGCTCTTTCTCTTCTTCCGACATTGATGAGACTCGATCAACCAAAATTCAGTTTACTGTGATTGTGAGAAATTGGGTCGTGGATGGGGGGAAGGGAAGGCGACCCCAACGGGACTGTTTGTTCCAATGACGGCATGGGTCTTGCAAGGCAGTTTAGTCAGCAAAGTCTGTCTGCGTGTCGCACCTACTTACAGCAGCCAATGAACAAAGGCAGCAGCTAGTGGACTTCTCCAAACAAGGCTGGATGGAATACCACAAGAACACAAGAACACAAGAACACCAGTCCACAAACACCAGTTGACCGGCTTCGAATTGTTTCTCTCACAAGTCTTTTCGACATTCCAGCTATATACTGTTTTTGCAATTCACATCGGGGTTAGAGAGTATCACATCGCACAAGCTCGATCCCGCAAGGATTGCTTCTGCCTACCTGACCATTATCCAACCATGGCATCCTGGGCTTTGCTCGACGAGAAAAGCGAATCTGAACTTCACAAGTCTCGCCTTCTCAACGTTGAAGAAAAACCCTTTAAACGGATCACAAAACGCCTGTCTAGCATTTCCTCCGTCGTCTTCCTAGCTACACAGCATAATGGAACAACAGAAAACGGCACCGATGCCGCGAAGCTCCCCACCCAAGACAGCTTAAAAGAAGATCTTACGCTCGACTTCGCCGCCTTTGACAGCAGCATTGCACGTCTACAATTTTTACACGATGCCAATCAACGCGAGCGCGAACGATATGCGGCCGACCAGCAGCGCATTTTGACAGAATGCCAAGCAGTGCGGGCCAATAATGGACAGCTGAGGGAACAATTGAGCTCTGCACAAGCGACGCTCGACCAGCGGAAGAAATTCGACGAACTAGCAGAAAAGATCACATCCAATAGATTATTACGTCCGCGTGAGGACCAGCTCGCTAACCTGGCGAAACTGGAAGAAGAGTGCAGGGAGCTGGAACGGGAGAGTGGGACATACAAAGAAACGTGGAAGGAACGCAGAGAACAGTTCAACAGGATCATGGAAGAAGGCATGATGCTGAGACGCCAGATTCGTGATGAGAAGGAGGAAGTTGACCGGCGAGAGGGCATGAATGAGGAAGGGGAGGATGACGTTGACGGAGAGCGGGAGGGTACAACACCTAGACCAGTTATGAGCGGCAATGCGACACCACATCCAGACGGCGAGGGTCAGTCCAAAGGCGAGAACGACGTGGAAAATGAAGACGAGCCTGCAAATGCAGCAGCTTCAAGTAGGGACAGAACGCCGTCCGGTGACACACCCGCGCAAGACAAGGCGGGATCGAGGGCAGCCCCAACACCGGCGGAATCAACATCTTCAGCGCCACGAGGTTCAGAGAAATATCTACAGGTTCCTGGGGGTGCAACACCTTCACATCAAGGTGACCGAGGTGCTGGAGATGTGGACATGGAAGACCAAGCGGAGACCCAAAGGACAGAACAGGAAGATGAAGAAGGCGATGATGAAATGGAAGTTGATGAGTAAAGAAGAGGATTTGGAGTTTTTTGCCTTGAATGATGTACTTCAATGCTGTAAAACTGTGATACCACAACCTAGAGAACTGAACACAGTCCCTCATGATGCCATGTCTCGTCGGGCCCCCGAGTTACCTGCCTCAATGCTTCATTAACAGGTTTCGGAACCCATCCCCATCTACCAAATTCTCAAGCAACTCTCCGCCTTAAGCCTTGGCCCTCGCCCGCCCTAGCACGTCCTTCGCATTCTCTAGGTCTTCCGAACCACCAGCTTCTTCCGCCAGAGAAATCTGATCCTCCAACTTGGTCACCGCCGCAGCAATCCTGTCTTTCAGCGGCCCAAAGACGGCCTTTGTCTGCTCAACAGCGGTTTTCTAAACAAAAAAGGTATCAGTTTTTCTTCACCATAGATACAGATTCGAGCTCATGCTCCGACGCGACTATCGAAACGGGGAATCAAGGGAAAGAGGGGAGGGAACGCACATTCTGCTTCAGCATAAACTCCGCATTGCCATCCCCGTCGCCGCCTCCGTTACGGATACTCTCCTCTAGCTTCTTCACTTGCGCTTCTTGGTCGGCTAGTTCCTTGCGGTACGAGGCTTCTTCTTTGAGGAGCCTGGTTACGGCGCCCGTTGCGATGGCGAGCTGTGAAGGAGGAGGCATGTTGCGTGCGTGCTTTTAGGCTCTTCCCGCGTGCCCCGGCGTTGGTAAGCTTTGGAATTCAAGGGATTGTAGAATATCTGTCTGATAGACAAGGTTATTTGTAATGGTTTGTTGTGATATGGCTGGCTGGGATTTGAAAGATACTGGTGCCTGTTGTCGGGGAGCAATCTAATCGAGTGCCTGTGGGTGAACCATGGACGTGGGGTGCAATGGTGGGGTTGTGCCAAAAGACCACTGCCATTGTTGCGTCACGGTTGTCATGTACGGAGTACTTTCAAGTACGAGTAGGCAGACATGGGCGATTTCCTTCTTGTAACATCTTCCTCCACTGTCACGCATTAACAGGCACGCGCAGAATGTTGAGGTGAAACCTTTCATTGATTTTTAAGTGTAACGGCTACCTAATTAGAATCATTGCTTTCCCATAACCAGCACCCTCGCACAAAAAGGCCTACATTTAGAGGCTAAAACCGGCCTTTCTATAAGGTCCATTTCGCTCTCCAAGCTCCAACATTTTGCTCTTCATAAACATCCCTGACCAACCGTATCCCGTCGTGATCAATGGTATCTTTCCATCAACGCCTGCAACGCCTTCAGAGTAGTCCAACAAGCCAATGCCCAAGAATGCGCGAATCCAGTATAGTACACGAGCACACAACCAATCTTCCTAGCCAACATAGTAGTCCAGACAGCGTACCACACCATAATTATTCTTTTTTTTTTTGGTCATGAAATCAAAATGATGTGTCATACAACAGCCAGGTTGTGATTTTAGGCCTCCACAGCAACTGCAGTAGAACTGACTGCTGCAGGCTCCGGCTCGTTCTGGTTCGAAATCTCGCCTCCGGCTTCTCGCTCAGCCCAGTCTCCCCACAATCCTCTCTTACCACGAACTCTGATGGGCGCCCCCAATTCTGGTCCTTGTTCAACCTTGATCGCATCCTTAGTGGCGAGGACAAGACACTCGAAGAACATCTTGGTGGCTTCTGCCTTGGTGGTTTGCTTCTCGGGTAGCAGATTCTGGAACACAACGGAGCTCTTCTTCCTCCTCTCGGCGTTTGTGGCAGCCTCAGCTCCAAACAAGTCTCGAAGAATGTGTACAGCATGCTTGGTACCAACAGAGACTGGACCACTGTCTTGAGGATGCACAAGAGGAGCCGTCGTTGCGTCGAAAGGGTTCATTACACTTCCGTCAGGTTCGTAGTGATCATCGTCGCCGCCAGCGGCAGGGATCTCCAGGATGGTGCCATCGGCTGCCACACTATGGCTAGCCACGCCGTCGCCGCCATCAAAGCCGAAGTCTGTATCGTCTCCAAGTTCCAGGCGCGGTGACTTGGCAGCACCGGCGTCGCTATCCACATCCGCAATGCCGCTGTCTCGCTTTCGCTTGAGCTCGCTCATTCCCCGGACGGCGTCTAATGAGAGCATGCCTCGAAGCTCTGGGGCCCAGGCTGAGCTGCGACCCTCGGTCATGATAGAGGAGACAAACCCACCAGTCTTCTGCATATCCATCAGAGCTAGGAGAAAGGGATCTCGAGGAAGATAAGAGGCAGGTTTGATGATATTCTGTCGATCAGCCTGTTGCTGTTTAATATGACTACTTGACAGGGCAATCTCATTATCGGGCATCATAATCTTCTGCTTTTTTGCACGTTGGGCAGGTCTGCGGACGATGGTGTGTTCTGTGTCTTCCGTGGGTTCATAGAGATCGGTATGGTTGTGGCGCGAGTATTCTGTTTCAATCTCCAGTGCCAGTTTCTCGTCAATGTCGGAAAGTGGCGACTCGGATATTCTCTCACGGGCAAGATTCGTTGTGGAAGCCATCCCTGGTATGGCAGATTGGTCATCAACGTTGAAAGCGAAATCATCATCACCCATTGCAATATCGCCCTCTCCATCCGCGATTCTCACAGGGGGTTCTCCCAAATCAGTCGCGTCCTTGTTGTGTGACCGAAGTTCCAAGTCGTCGCTCAACATGTCATCTTCAACGTCGCGTGCTGGCGGTGCATCTCGACCATGTTCGATACTTTGGCTCAAGTCGTCGTCTATGCTGAAGCCGAAGTCGAGCTCAAGTTCTAACTCGCCCATTGGTGCAAAACTGTCGTCTGCGTTGTCATTGCCGTGTAGAAATTGACTGACTTCAAGATCTTCCTGCAAATTAATATCTCTGTTATTGCTGGCACGGCCTTTGCGGCCGACTGGAGTAGCCGTGATGTCGTCGACCTGAGACAACAGCCATGAGGCATCCGGAGGAGGAGGCAATTCCAAATTGTCATAAGGCGTGATCCGATCAGGCAAAAGCAAGGCCTCGCGATTCGGCATTTGTAAATTAGCGGCCATATCATTGTTTCCACTGGATCGGAAAGCCTAGCATCACAACGTTAGTAGTGTTCTTTATGACAAATGAGACTGGCTTCCGAGTGACTCACCATTTTGATCTTCATCATAGCTTCATTACAGTCATCTAGCAAATAACGCGTCTTCCGTTGGTATATTCTCACAACACCAAGCAGAAGCTGGCCACTCAGACGCAGTGCCATAGGCGCCTGGTTCGGTGTGATGATAGCCTCAACACTGTCGGTGACATTGGACTGTAGGATATGATTTTTGGACAGCTTGCGCTCCAGATTTGCCGACAGCCAGACGCGAGCCAGGGGCCCGCTCTTCTGGAGGAGAGTCTCCGAGTAGAACATGGTGGCGCTTCGCGACGCGACACGGCTGCTCGAATGGCTCGAAACGAGCAAGTACACGAAGGCTTAATGCGAGCCCGCTGAGATGTTTGAAGAGCAAGCGCCAGTGGGGGTGTCGAGAAGTTTCGTGTCAACAGCACCCACGGTGGCGCGTTGTCGGGGTAAACAAGGATATGAACCGTGTCGACGCTTTGCAACGCGCAAAAAAGGGCCGCGCAAAACAGTATAGCAAAGCGAAATAATCGGGCGAGTTAAAGGTACGTGTCCGCGACCGAGAGCGATGGCGTACCGAGCGATAAAATGAGCGTGGATGTGAGGGTCGTGACGAGATGCTGGGTGGGAAGATCAGGATTGGTACCAGTGCAAATATCCAGGTGGTTGGGGGGAGGCAACGTCCCACTGCCCAGGACGGAAGAACGCTCCTTCCGCACCATCACTATGGACAACAGAAAAGTGGGTCCACTAACCCAACTGAGATGCATGCATCCTTCATCATTCAGCAGCTTTTATTACTCCGGTCGGAGTACTTGTGCCTAGGGTATGGAGTACTTTTGGCCCGCATTCATTCCTAAACCGCTCCAAGGAACTTCTGCTACTGCCACTGGACGGTCGTTTGTGCCAATCCATGGCCATTTCGAGCGAAGCTATTATCAATACAAGTACCACTAAAGGGGAAAATGTGAAGGTCTGGGTCATTCATATGCTTACTACCAACCAGTACATTACTGTGGGCATACACTCCGTGCCCGTACACCCAAGAGCATACCTGGCATAGCCGCACGGATCCCGGCCGGGAAATACCTTTGTTTGCCCTCGTTATATTCCTGCCATACTAATTCAATATTCGGCCTGTTCATGGGCAGCGGACCCACTATCCGATGTATTCTCGAGCTCTCAGAGTTGTTCCTATTTTATGCGCCTGCACAAACCATAATGCAATGGTGCCACGGACAGCGAGTTGGCGGGTAGTGAGAGTACAGGCTATTATTGGCTCATTATGGCTTCGGCTGACATTAAGGGGATCCACACTCCAAGTCGCATGCAGATCTGTTCTCAGCGGAAACTGCCCCTGGAAAGTTGTTTCTAAGTTCCTAGACTTGGTAAATCTACTCTCCGACAAACCATTGTCCACGGAGTAATACCCTCTTTGCATACTTGTCTGCCTTTCTTCGTCCATCGTCAAGGGCAATTTTCTTTTAATTTCTTGTCTTTTTTCTGCCCTCACTTAATAGTCCATCTCTAATCCACATTTCCAGCGGCCTGTTTACGCCTTGCGCATTAGTGTATGCGAGCGACCAACGTCTTTTGCCTGAACATTTCCCTATGACGACGCACATCCGTTTCTCATTCATCTAGTCATCCCGATGCGATATCTACACTAGAACGGCCGACTCTCTGAGCACAAAAATGCAGATGCCATGGTTTGCACGCGACGGCTCAGGGAAGGAGACTCTACTCCCTACCTCGAGCACTCCAGCCATCATGGAATTGTCCACCTTCGACTCGTCCGAAAATGGCAAACCAGTTCGATCGCAACATGCCCGAACTCCCTCATCGCACGCCAGAGTATGTAGCTCATCGCCATGGCTGCCGGAGTACACATCGCTAACTTTTGTCAAGAATGTCGCGGATGAATTTTCCTATATGACGCCCAGCGAAGCCGCTGCGCGCTTGCGAACGTCGTTAACTCATGGACTTACTGCCACCGATGCCCTGACCCGACTGGGTGATTATGGCCCAAACGAGATTCCCCATGATGAACCAGAGCCTCTTTGGTTGCGATTTGTGAAGCAATTCCAAGAACCGCTAATTATTCTCCTACTTGTGTCCGCGGGCATGTCCGTCTTGTTGGGCAACTTAGACGACGCAGTGAGCATTACAGTCGCCGTCACAATCGTAGTGACTGTTGGGTTTATCCAAGAGTATCGGTCCGAACAATCAATTGAAGCTCTTAACCACTTGGTTCCAAACCATGCTCATCTGGTACGTGGGGGATCCAGCAAACCTTCAGCGACTATACCCAAATCTCCTGCCTGGCCACCACCATCCGACGACCCTGGCTCGACTGGCAGCTCTGGATCGAAGACACCAGTAGAGGATGCTATGGATGCCGTATCAACCAAGGTTATGGCCGGACAGCTTGTTCCCGGTGACTTGGTGCTGTTCACAACTGGCGATCGGATCCCGGCCGATATTCGTGTGACCAAGGCAACCGATTTGACAATAGATGCCTCCAATTTGACAGGGGAGACGGAACCGGTTCGAGTCACGGCTGAGGCGCGAACAAGACGAGTCAGCGCCCACGGATTGAACCATCTACAGCTTCCTCATCCGCCAGCACTTGGGTCCGGGGGTCATCATAAAGGAGATCCCGGCAGTGACACACACAACATCGCATTCATGGGAACTTTGGTAACATCTGGCCATGGCCGAGGCATTGTGTTCGCGACCGGTGGGAGCACACACTTTGGTACTATAGCGACCAGCGTATCTGGTACGGAAAGCCCTCGTTCGCCACTTCAACTGTCCATGGACGAACTTGGTACCCAACTCAGTAAGGCCTCTTTTGTTGTCATTGGCCTGATTTCATTAGTTGGATGGTTGCAAGGCAAGAAGTTATTGGAGATTTTCACAATTTCTATTTCACTTGCCGTAGCGGCGATTCCAGAGGGCCTTCCGATTATCGTAACCGTTACTCTAGCACTTGGCGTCCACAGAATGGCACGACACAACGCAATTGTTCGTAGAATGCCCAAGGTCGAGACTCTTGGCTCTGTCAATGTAGTTTGTACCGACAAGACCGGTAAGCCTTGCCCTTTGCCAAAGTTCTAAATTGAGACTGAGTGTATTTGTCCAGGTACGTTGACTACAAATCATATGACAACGTCTGAGATGTGGTATTTTGGAGCCGGGGACCCGATCGACGTTGCCTCTGACAGCGATTCCCTGGATGATAAGAGTACACCTACACTGTTGAGAATTATGCGCATCGGAAACATCGCCAATAATGCACGGCTTGCGCAAAAATATACCGAGAGCGGCGCCGCTGCTTCAGCAGTTTTGTCCTCTACGCTGGGGCGTGGGCAAGTAGCCACGAATTCGAGATGGGTCGGCCAACCCACGGATGTCGCCATGTTGGATATGCTTGATAAGTTCAAGGAACATGACATTCGCGACTCCATAGGACCGCGGGTAGCGGAAACGCCGTTCAGTTCTGAGAGAAAATGGATGGGCGTGACTATTGGCTCTGATTCCAAAGGAGAAAAAGAGTATGCGTATATGAAGGGTTCAGTCGAAAAGGTTCTTACTGCATGCAGTACTTACCTGGACAGTGACGGAAGAGAGATTGTTCTTGATACAGCTAGACGTGAAGAGGCTCTAGCAGCAGCCAAAACAATGGCAATGAAGGGACTCCGTGTTCTAGCTTTTGCCAGTGGACCTGTGTCCAAGTCTTTCAGAGGAAGGACCGCACAGGGAACTTCGCGCACTGGGACGCCGGATCTCGAAAACAGCACAAATTCATCCCAGGAGGCCAATGAGGATGTCTACAGGGACTTGATATTTGCTGGTTTGGTGGGTATGAGTGATCCACCAAGACCTGGGGTTAGTCGTTCCCTCAAGAGGCTTATGCGAGGCGGAGTCAAGGTTATTATGATCACTGGTGATGCTGAAACCACAGCCCTTGCCATTGGCAAGCAGCTGGGCATGAATATCGCGGTGGCTAGCGAACATTCGAGTAGTCAAGGTACTGTGCGGCCTGTGCTTCTTGGAGAAGAGGTCGATAACATGTCGGAGGAGGACCTGGCCCTGGCCATGCAGCATACCACTATTTTTGCTAGAACGAACCCGGATCACAAGATGAAGATTATCAAGGCTTTGCAATCTCGTGGCGATATTGTTGCTATGACTGGAGATGGAGTCAATGATGCTCCTGCTTTGAAAAAGGCTGACATTGGTATCTCGATGGGCCGCCACGGAACTGATGTGGCTAAGGAAGCCGCAGATATGATTCTCACAGACGATGACTTTTCGACGATTCTGCGCGCAATTGAGGAAGGCAAAGGCATTTTCAACAATATCCAAAACTTTCTCACCTTCCAACTCAGCACCAGTGCTGCCAGCTTGTCTCTTGTACTCTTGTGTACCTTTTTTGGCTTCAAAACTCCTTTGAACGCCATGCAAATTTTGTGGATTAGTAAGTTTTCATGGTATATGTAGGCCTCACTTCAACGTTAACATAATGTTAGATATCATCATGGACGGACCTCCAGCTCAGTCCCTTGGAGTTGAGAAGGTCGATCCCGATGTGATGAATCGGCCCCCACGAAGACGCAACGACGCGGTACTTACCAGGGCGGTTCTTATGCGTGTCCTAACATCTGCTGTCATCATCATGATCGGCACCATGCTAATATACAGGCACGAAATGTTGGCCGATGGACAAGTAACACGACGTGACACAACCATGACGTTTACGTGCTTTGTCTTCTTCGACATGTTTAACGCACTTAGCTGTCGATCGGAGTCAAAATCTATTTTCCGAGGCGAAATCGGCCTGTTCGCCAACACCTTATTTAATTGGGCGGTGTCACTCAGTGTTGTCTGCCAGCTATTGGTCATATACATGCCTTGGCTTCAGGAAGTGTTCCAGACAGAGGCGATAGGACTTGGCGATCTTTTCAGGCTCATTGTTCTTTGTAGCTCAGTGTTCTGGGCGGATGAATTACGCAAATACCTAAAGTACGGAAAGCGGCGTTTGGGCAGCGGATATAGTCAAGCTGTGTGATGTCTCCATGGCAAAGGGGTATATATTCGGCGGCAGCTTGCTTGACGGACATTTTGTTTTACATAGAGTTGGAGTCCCAACATATAAATCATAGCATAGCAATTCATAGCAATGGAAGACTTGGTGGATTCTAGAAAGGGGTTCTCTAGCAGGATTGATTGACTGAATCTGAGGTTTACATGATGGAAGTTGTTGGCGCCGCCGTAGCAAGCACTGGTGGTGGGTCGAAACAGGCTGGGACATAGTTACTAGCCAGCTCGACAGCCCGCATGTGCCACAACCACCAACCACCTGAGGTCTCGGACAACTAGCTCTTCAGTCAACAACACACACAGTCAGCAACCTCGTCAACAAAGCCTCCGGGAGCTATGTGCCACCCGGCCGGATCTTCTCGTCGCCAATGTCCTCTCTCCCCAATGGCGTGCTTAATCGCTACAGCACCACCGATGGCAAGGACATGAAGCCGAAAACTGCCACACCATCGCCCCTCAACGATGTCTCATGCGCGGCCGAACTGCGCGCCGCACTGGCAACGCTGCATGCCCGGGAATCCGACATAACAGCCCGTCTCGACTCCTTGATCGCTTCACAGGCCGACCTAACACGAGACCTCGGCCGATTGGATCTGTTGCGAGCCGGTCTGGGTGCTCAGGTCATCGCTGCGAGATCCATTAGCAATGACATGCTCTCATCCGCAGCCGAGACTGCGGGTAGGCTCAGCAACAGGGTCAAGGAGCTGGACCTGGAGAAGAGCCGTGTAGAAGACACACTCGGCGTGGTTGAGCAAGTTGCCGAGCTCAAAGCCTGTGTCAACGGCGTGGTGGGCTCCATGGGCGCGCCACAGGACTGGGAGGCAGCAGCTGCCTACCTGGACCGAGCAAGCAAAGTTCCAGAAGAAATCGCCCGGGGAGCTTTCGCCTCAAGCATAGTTCCCAGCGTGGAGGTACCCGACCCTCCGTGGGTGACGCTGGAGACGGCAAGAGAGTCTCTTTGCGGGCTCTTCTTGCGGGAGTTTGAAAAGGCGGCTGGAGATGGGGACGGCACAAAGGTTACCCGATTCTTTAAGCTGTTCCCCTTGATTGGACGAGCTGACGTTGGGCTGGACGTGTACGGGCGATATGTCTGCCAAGGGGTAGCAGGGACGGCTCGCGCCACACTGAAGGACAGTGTCGGCGCTCCTCACGGCAGGAAGGAGGGATTCTTCTACGCCAATGCATTGACGAGGCTATTTGAACATATAGCGCAGATCGTGGAAAGCCACGGGGGTCTTGTGGAGCGGCATTATGGTGCTGGCAAGATGGCCCGTGTGATTGAGCGACTACAAATGGAAGCGGATGTTCAGGGTGGCATTATCATGGATACTTGGAGCGATGAGCGCGGTATTGACAGGGTGATTACCGATGTGAAAAGTTATCCCTTTTCGTTTTTGGTGCAGAGCTTTCTGCCACAGGCGCCCAGAAGTGGTGCGCCGCGGGTCAATTCCCCAGCTGTGGGTGGCGGGAATCCCCGTTCCAGCGAGGATGAGGGTGTCAACATGAAAGAAGTGGATGGGCTGCTGAACGAGATTGCCCTTATGCTTGGAAGATGGTCACTCTATACGCGGTTTCTGTCTGGTAAATGCATGGTAAGCTGCCCTCTACTATGACAAGGGGTTGGAACGGGGACTAACAAGGGGGCGCGCTCAGGTTCCTTCTGATGAAGATAGGCCGTTGGTATTGCCAGAACTGTTGATCAAGTCAAACTTGTATCGGAAGGTCTCCGCAAAGCTCACAACGCCGTATAATGTCATGACGACGTTCTTTTTTCGCCGGTCTGTAGAAAAAGCATTCCAATTGGATGAGTATCCAACCGGTTTGTCCTTGCGCCTAAATAGGTCGATTGACGGTCATGGTCCTATTATTATCACAGCCGTAGATGATGTCATGTACATTGTCAATGCGGTGATACAGAAATCAATGTCGACATCACAGCGGGATGTTATTGCATCCGTCATTCCGACTATTGGCCGAGTCTTGGGCTCTGATTTCATTGGCATGGTGCAGCGCAAGATGAGAGACGAATCTTATCCGAAGCCAGCCGTACACGGCGGCTTTCCCCCGGAAGACAAAATCATCCAGTTCATTGTGCTCATCAACAGCCTGGATATGGCAAATGAATACTTGAGCAGAATCATCGGCAGCCGAGTCGTGACAGCCGAAGGCCAAGCAAATGGCGTAACACTACACGAGTCTTTGAAAGATTCGTTCCCATTCGACAAGGATAACACATTTGCCGCCAACACGCTACACTCCCTGGAGACCAGCTTCATCAACAAGTCCTCTGAGCTCCTCAACGAAGGTATCCAAGTCCTCTTGACTCAAGTCGTCAAGCCTCGATTACGGCCCATTTTCAACGATACTTTCCGGGACGTGGATTACACTCTGGACGAAGAAGACGTGGCGGAAGTGGCAGAGCAAAATGACGAAAACGTAGGGGACATTCTTGACCAGGTTTCGAGACGATTCGAACATGGCTGGGATCAGCTAATGAAGCCGATTGCACGCATAATGACGCCCGGGACATTCAGAACGCTACTAGACATCACAGCTCGATACCTGTCCAGGATCTTGGAGAAGAGGATATTGAGCTATGCCGGGAAGACGAGTCCGTTCGGCGCGGTCCGCATAGAAAGGGACTTTACCGGCATCGTAAACATCGTCTCCAAGGGGGATTATCGTGTCAGGGAGGCGTTTGGCAAAGTGACTCAGCTGCTCATGGTGGCTAATATGGAGGACGACGAGTGGGAAGAGCTTGGCAATGACGAAGACGCTATTGAATGGGTGTTGACGGAGGAGGAGAGGAGAAGGGCGAGGGGGCTGGTGAAGGGCTAAGTTTGGCTCGCGGAAATATGGTCATAGACAGCGTAAAGAATTTATGACGAAGTATGCGGGGATGCCTGTATTGAGGGATTGAGGTGTTGCCTGCAAGTTCTGTGTTGGACAAGACTTGCGCGAAGCGACTCGACTGGTGAAGTTCCAGAGTTGACGACCAGACTGGACTGGCCCAATGGACCAGACTGGTGTCGAGCACTGCTGGCGGACACGGCTCCAGTGGGCCTCGGTGCCTGGTGTGGTCTGGTAGAAACCAGCCAGTGGCAAGTGACGGACCAAAATGTCTCTGCGCGCATCGGAGGGTCCAAGGCGAGTGAGCAAGGCCAGGCAGCCACCCCAGAAAATTTCGATGGCCAATATCAGACATTCAAACATCGACCGACTACCCAACCTATTATTATCTTATCTCTTGTGTGATAATCTAATGACTTATTCCGTCTCTCTATAAACGAACCTGTCTTGAATCTCTCGTCATCACCCAACCAGGCAGTCTCTCATCTCAACTCTCACTCATACCATTCACGTTGGCTCGTCTCGCCTCATCACGACTTATATCGGTCCTCCTCACCAGATCCCCATTTCGACCCTTCACCACAATCTCAGCACCGCCCGCCATGAACACGCGGGTGGTTGCCGTCCCTCACAAGGGCACACTGGGCTCGTTTGACGACTCCAAGGACCCCCTGGGCAGATTAGAGCACTGGCACATTCACAAAGACGCCAGAGATGCAGTCACCACACTAGAACCCGCCGCAGAGTACCTCAGGACCAAAGACACACCCGTTGCTTTCCCCACGGAGACGGTGTACGGCCTGGGCGCCGACGCCACGAGGAGCGCGTCCGTCAAGGGGATATATTCGGCAAAGGGGAGGCCGTCGGACAACCCGCTTATAGTGCACGTGTGTGATCTTGATATGCTGCGGACCCTGCTTGGCTCCCGCGGCGAAGATGCCATCCCGGCGCGCTATCAGTCTCTCATGAAGAGGTTCTGGCCGGGTCCGTTGACCATTCTCCTGCCCAACCCCGATCCCTCGCCGCTTGCGCCAGAGGTCACTGCCGGACTCGCGACGTTTGGTGTGCGCATGCCGTCGTCGCCGTTGGCGCTGACGCTCATCAAACTTGCTGGCGTGCCGCTGGCTGCCCCCTCTGCGAATGCCTCTACGAAGCCGTCGCCTACCATGGCGCAACACGTCAAGGATGACTTGGATGGGCGGATCGAAATGATCCTCGACGGGGGTTCTTGCCGGGTTGGCGTTGAAAGCACAGTCGTCGATGGCCTGTGTGATCCGCCGGCTGTTCTGAGGCCGGGGGGTGTGGCCATCGACGAGTTGAGGAGCTGTCCCGGCTGGGAAGATGTCGTGAAGGCGTACAAGGACCAGAGCGAGGAGGGCAAAGCGGCGCCGCGAGCACCGGGCATGAAGTACAAGCACTATAGTCCCAGGGCGAGGGTCGTGCTATACGAGTCGAGCTATGAGAATGGGCGAGCCGGGATTGTCAAGGCGGACGCGGAAGCTGTTGTGGCGACCGCGAATGGGGACACACACACCATGAATGGCACCGCGAGGAAGAAGGTGGGAGTCATACGGACCAAGAGGTGGAAGCCCGCTGCTGGCCTGCGATGCAGCAGGCTTCATCCGGATGCGAGACAGATTTGCCACAGTCAGCAGAACGGCCAGCACGACGAGATGCCGTACGATGTATATGCTGGGGAATTGCAAAATGAACAAGGGGAGACAATCGGCCAAGTATTCGACATAAGTCTGGGTCAAGAACACCGCGGTATAGCGCAAGGCTTATTCTCCGCCCTTCGAGAGCTGGATAGACGGGGCGCAGATGTTATTTTTGTAGACGGTATAGACGATGAGCTGGATATAGCAGCTGCTGTGATGAACCGCCTTCGCAAGGCGGCATCTGAAACTAGAGCATAGACACCATGAAGCGTTTCAACCTTTTTTTTTTCTTCTTCAAAAATTTTTTTGGTATTCTCTTCTCTCCATCCTACTTTGTAGATCTACCAGGCCCGAGCAGATCAATAAACCTGCCCATTTCCCATGTCATGCGGCGCTTTCAGAAGATGAACAACCGTTGTCCTTCTGTCATACGACAATTCTTTTTAAAACAAAACAAAACAAAGTAACGTCCATTATTTCCCACATCATCATCAATGGTATTTTCGTGTCAAAGTCTACGAGACGCAGAAGACGGTGGATTTTGCAAAGCCTTTACAAGCCCTGCCGTAACCAGTCTGCCAGCTTTGACTTGCCCAATTGCGCTAGATTATTGACACCCTGTTCGCTGAGGTCGATGCGGCCGATGGGCACGTCTTGCGCCGGAGCTCTGCTGACGCGCTGGACAATAATGGTAGGGTCTGTTTCAAGGATGATGCCGTCGTCGACGATTTCGTCGATGGCAAGGGAGACGAGGTCGTAGTTTTCGATGATGGTGCGCTTGTCCACGGATTGTCTGTGGCTGTTAGTCTGGGACTTTACATGGAAACTGCACGAGTTAGGGAGGGAGGAGGCAAATGTACTTGAAGACGAGGTGTAGTGAGTCACGGATGGCGAGAACAGTGTTGTACAGCAGAATTTCGTTCTCGTCCGGGCTGCCCACCACGTAAATCATAACGTCGGACTCGAGCTTGTACAAGACGATTCTGTTATCGTAGAGGATGATGTCGCCCGTCTGCTTGGCCGTCTTTTCGATGAGGCCCTTCTCGAAGGCCTTTTGGGCTTTCAGGTCAGGATATGGGTTGCTGGAAGCTGCGGCGCCTGTGTGGGGGCGGGGTTTGTCAGTTTATATGATTTTGGCCCGGTTTGATGGCATCGACCCCCTAGCCGGGAAGGGAACTTACTACCGGCGGTGCTGTGCGGGGGAGAGTAGTATTTGGCCAGGATTCTGGCGCCGTCCTCTGTGCCGAGAATGAGGACGGCTTGCACCGAGAAAAGGGACATTCCTGGAGACATGGTTGCGAGGAGAGTGCGGCGTGGACGGTTGTTGGATACTGTTGCGATGGGGATGGATGCCCTCGTTGAGGTAACGTGGAGATACAGAAGACGATGTTGGTCTCGGTGGTCAATCACGGTGGGGCTCAATTGACAATTTTGCATTATGATTGGCTGAAGCTGCCATCAAAGAGAACCTGGGATGCACGAGTCCTTGGGTTGCCTTGCAGATTCGAAACTACCAATGTACCTGTTAGTTAGGTACGGAGTACTTGTGCAACTATTGACAGTTTCAAGTTGACAGGTTAATATTGTTGTTTTAACGTCTTCATATAGCAATGACAATGGTGAAGACGGCGTATGGTAAGAGATGCTAAGCGGCGGACTCTACTGCCATGGGACGGGCTGGAACGCGATTTGACAACTCACGGACTTAGTGCCGATGTATATACCACAATTCCTTAGCGTCGACATATTCCGTTGTCGGGGACAGATGTAGATATTTCTGCCGCCAACTCGATTTCATATGGTACGATGAATCTGGGACGGGAAATTCTTTACTCCGCTCGAAGTAGACACATTGAAATCTGGTCGGGCAGAACCATACGTCAAAGAATTCGATGGGCCTGGCACCCGCTGCCCTGTGAAGGACAAGCCACACAGGGGGTCTGGCACCAGGGACTGCCGCGTCGTGCACCTGGATAAATGACAACCACTTTACGCGTCAAGACGCGACCAAGACGCGTAAAATGAAGCCCCTCCACTTGACCACTTCACCATTTCACCACTTCGGACCTAAAGCACCCTTCACATCGCCATTGTTCATTCTCATCTTTCCCCCCCAATATCGACATCTTGTATGAAGTTTAGCAGGATCTGACCCCATACGTTTTGAATTGATTGCAACATTTAATAATGTCGTCGCCGTCACAACGCCGGCAGCGCAGTTCCCAGTCTGCCACTCCGCGTCGGTCTACTCGCCAGTCCGAAGCCAATACCCCTCGCAATGCGCCTTCGCAGCTGGCCTCAAGCCCAATTTTTTTTCAGTCCTCGTCTCCTGGCCCCGTAGCTGGTCAGGAGCATGGGGAGAACGGAGACGTGTCGTCCCCTTTGAGGCAGATGACGGATAGCCAGAGCACGCAAGCTCATGCTGCTACTCCTAGCTCTCCGTTGCGGCAAATGTCCGAGTCGCAGACACCTCGAGATGATCCTCAGAGAACGCCTAGAGCAAGTGGGAACTTTGCCGGAGGTAAATATTTCATTTGCTCTTCTCCCATCGCCACATAACTACAGCTTTGTCGCGATTGCTGACACCTCGCAGAGTCCTCACCAATCCGATACGAACCGAGCTCCAGTCCTGGCCGATCACTTGGCCTTCGATCCGAGCTACGCAGCGAGAGCAGCGGCTTGTTTGTTGGCTCAGAGCGAGGTAGCTCTGCCGCTTACAGGCGTGGAGATATCAACTCGGATGCCTTGCGAACGCCTCGCGCCCCCCGACGCATTATCCTGGATGACACTGGTCGCGTTGTTCAAGAGGGTCAAACCCCTGGCTCGGATGCTGCGTCTTTCGCCAACCGAGACCCAAACACGTCTGAAGCCGATGTTCTTGGCGGCCAAGGCCAAAGTCTCATCTGGGGTACAACTGTATCCATTGATGACACCTTTGCAGCATTCAAAGACTTCCTACGCCACTTCACCCAAAAGTACAGAATGTACCGGGATGGCTTTTCAGATGCAGAGGTGCAGGCCGCGCCAGATGCGGAGTCCAAACCCTACCTAGAAGCCATGGAAAATATGCTGCTTCTTGGCACTACGAGGCTGTATCTCGACATTTCTGACCTGAATCTGTACCCTCCCACTCGCAAGCTGTGGTACCAAATCCAGGCATATCCTCAGGAAATCGTCCCCATCATGGATCAGTCCGTCCATGATTTGATGGTAGAACTGGCACGAGCTGATTCTCTCAAAAACCGGCAATCTCAGAGCAGTGCTGGTCAACACGACACCCAGAACAGCACCCAGAGCTCGGAACCGGTCTTCCCCAGCTCTGACAGACCTGACGACCCTGCTACTCCCCGTCCGCCGCAGGACCAACCGTCTTTGGAGGATCAAGTATCTGCGAACTTGTACGTCGTCCGTCCCTTTGGGCTCGACAAGACGATAAACTTGAGAGATTTGAACCCATCTGGTATATTTTTGTTTTCCTTGTCCCTCAATCTCGCAGTTTCCAGTGCTAACACATCCCACAGACATGGACCGCCTCATCTCTATAAAGGGTCTCGTTATTCGGACAACGCCCGTCATTCCTGACATGAAGGATGCCTTTTTCCGTTGCAACGTTTGCAACCACTCTGTCAACGTCAGCCTCGACCGAGGCAAGATTCGTGAGCCAACCGAGTGTCCTCGACAAATTTGCAACTCCAAGAACTCCATGCAGATCGTCCACAACAGGTGCTCATTTGAAGACAAGCAAGTCATCAAACTGCAAGAGACTCCTGATGCCGTGCCTGCCGGTCAAACCCCCCACAGCGTCTCAGTCTGCGTGTATAACGAACTCGTAGACTTCTGCAAGGCAGGTGACAGAGTCCAGTTGACGGGGATATTCCGAGTCAGCCCTGTGCGAGTCAACCCACGCCAACGCGCTGTCAAGAGCGTATACAAGACTTACGTTGATGTTCTTCACGTTCAAAAGGTCGACAAGAAGCGTATGGGAGCCGATCCCACCACACTTGGCATCGAAGGCGAAGAGGACGCAGACAACGGCGCAAACGGGCTAGAACAGACCCGTGTCATCACACCCGAAGAAGAAGCCAAGATTCGAGAAACGGCTGCTCGTAATGACATCTACGAGCTCCTGTCCCGGTCTCTCGCGCCTTCAATCTACGAAATGGACGACGTCAAAAAGGGTATACTCCTACAACTCTTTGGCGGCACAAACAAGACGTTCCAAAAGGGCGGCAGTCCCAAGTACAGGGGCGACATCAACATACTGCTTTGCGGTGACCCTTCCACTTCAAAGTCCCAGATGCTCTCCTACGTCCACAAGATTGCTCCTCGCGGTGTCTACACCAGCGGCAAGGGCTCCTCAGCCGTCGGTCTCACGGCCTACGTGACCCGCGACCCCGAAACCAAACAGCTCGTGCTCGAGTCCGGTGCCCTGGTCCTGTCAGACGGTGGTGTCTGCTGCATCGACGAATTCGACAAGATGTCTGACGCAACGCGCTCCGTCCTTCACGAGGTCATGGAGCAGCAGACCGTCTCTGTGGCCAAAGCAGGCATCATCACCACCCTCAACGCCCGAACCAGCATTCTCGCCTCTGCCAACCCTATCGGCAGCCGCTACAACCCTGACCTCTCCGTACCTCAAAACATAGACCTGCCTCCAACCCTGCTCTCCCGTTTCGACCTCGTCTATCTAATACTCGATCGCGTCGACGAGAAGGCGGACAAGCGTCTCGCCAAGCATCTTCTCTCTCTCTACCTCGAAGACAAGCCTCACTCTGCCCCCACGAGCGACGACATCCTCCCCGTCGAGTTCCTCACACTCTACATTTCCTACGCCCGCGCTCAGGTCCAGCCCGTTATCTCCCGTGAGGCCGGCGAGGAGCTCGTCAGCGCATACATTGCCATGCGCGCTCTGGGCCAGGACGTCCGCGCCGCGGAGAAGCGCATCACCGCCACGACGCGTCAACTCGAGAGCATGATTCGTCTCTCCGAGGCCCACGCAAAGATGAGGCTCTCAAATACCGTCACAAAGGAGGATGTCCGCGAGGCCAATCGCCTCATTCAGAGCGCCCTCAAGACGGCTGCCACCGACTCCCAGGGCCGTATCGACATGTCTCTCTTAACCGAGGGCACGAGCGCGGCCGACCGCAAGCGCCGTGGAGAATTGAGAGACGCTATTCTGAAATTGCTGGACGACATGACGGCTGGTGGGAATAGCGTTCGATGGGGCGATGTGTCGAAGCGCTTGGCCGATGGCGCGAGTATACCCGTGGAGGCGGCCGAGTTTAACGAGGTCATGAGGGCTTTGGAGACGGAGAATCTCATCTTGATCAGCGGCGAGGGAGCCAGGAGGAGCGTTCGAAGAGTAACAGCTGTGGTGTAAGCTTTGTCTTGTACAAGTGTGACGTCGAGATGAAAAATAATGCGGATATCAAGGACTAGGAAGGGACACGTCTAGGTTTACATGTTGGCGTTGATAGTTTGTTAGATATCAATGTGCTATATGAATAATATTTCGTTACATAACAATTCCTCTCTCCGGAATGAGGCCAAACTAACAAGGCTGTGTTATTTAGCTGCTTTTTTTGGCTGCCTTTTTAGGTGCCCTTTCTAGTTGCTGTTTTAGCTGTATCTTTGGTGCCTTTCTTCATCTTGGCACCGCATTTGTCTTCTTTCTGGACGGCGCGCCGCGCGCGATGCGTCAGACACACCAGCAACATTAGTGACTCCTAAAAGCACCAAAAACACAGCTAGAACAGCAACTAAAAAGGCACCTAAAAAGGCAGCCAAAAAAGCAGCTAAGTAACACAGCCTTGTTAGTTTAGCCTCGTCACGGAGGAAAACTTAATAACATGATAATTCCTTTGTCCTATTCACCCGTATCCATTGCTTCAGTCAACACTGATGACAGGTGATAAATCATATACAAAGCTATTCAGTTTATCAAACCAAGCTTACTCAAACAAACAACCTCCATTATCATCCAGTTCGCCCCGTAGAAACTTATACATATTCGTCCGGCCGACGAGCGCAGACCTCGTTGCTATATGTTGTGCGTCCACCTTTGACTTTGCGGTTTGAGTCACCGGCACAAGCTATAATTTGCTCCACGCAATCAGTGGCTGAGGCTATCTCGCGATAGCCTTCGCCGGCGCGCGCTGTGATGAATCACTATTCGGCTAGTGTGTCTGACGCATCGCCATGCGTTCATGGTGTCTTGCGTGGTTAGTTACGGTTCCTGGCCTAGGTACGGCCAAAATACAGTGTTACTAGATGCCCTCCATCTAGCCCTTTTCTTGATCAAGCTTATAAGTGTGCACTGTAGTCTGTGAGTCACCGGCACAAACTATATTTTGCTCCACGCAATCAGTGGCTGAGGCTATCTCGCGATAGCCTTCGCCGGCGCGCGCTGTGATGAATCACTATTCGGCTAGTGTGTCTGACGCATCGCCATGCGTTCATGGTGTCTTGCGTGGTTAGTTACGGTTCCTGGCCTAGGTACGGCCAAAATACAGTGTTACTAGATGCCCTCCATCTAGCCCTTTTCTTGATTTTTTTTAAACAAGTTAAAAAATAAGTTAATACATACTCGTCCTCCTCTTACCAAATATTTCTTTCTCTGCCCTCAAAGCCAAAGTTCAATGCCACGGCAATAAACAATGACACGCAGAGAACACTAGGTCCCCATTTGTCATAGAATCGAGCCGCCTTGCGGTTTCGAATCGATCTGCTTCTGTACAAGTAAATTCCAACTGAATAACACAAGCTCAGGATCGCAAGGAGTGTAAATACGCCTGCGACCAGGAACGATGTAGGAGTTGGATGTTCACCAAAGTTGAGGAGGGTAATCGCAATAGCGCCAATGTAGATTGAGTATTCGAGCTAGTAGTGTTAGTCATGCATGTTGAAACTGCGGGTTTGTATCACATACCCATCCGAGGAAAGTTCGTTCTGCGGCAAAGTACACCTTGGGCTCGACACGGACAGGAACGTAAATTTTTTTGCCAGGTGGTGCCTTGAACTTTTTCTGCTGAATGGAGCTGGAGCCGAAGAGCATCTGTAGCCTATCACTACGCGGAACCTGTGTGCTTCGAGGAGCAGGAACCAAGTGCTTCAGAACGTTGAGGGTGCCATCACGTAGTGCTCGTCCTTTAGTGGTAAAGAGGGTATGGTAGTAGTGCCATCCTCCAACTCGTCTTGCTTCTTCCAGCTCGTAATTGGGATCATACTCGTCATCGGAATCATATATTAGATAGTCCTCATCATTGGCAACTGCGTGGTCGGCTGTCTGGCCTTCCGTATCACTTGGTCCCGGAAGCGAGCGTGAGCCAGATTGGCCATTCGAGGTTGCTGGACGAGCTGCCAACCTCAGTTCCTCGTCATCGGAGTCTAAATCCTCATCATCATCATCCGAGGTGTTGGTTGTTCCCGACAGACCAGGTCTGCGGATACCAAAGTCATGTGAAGCAGGCTTGCGGATATCTACATCCATTTGTGGCATCCAGAAAGGCAAAAGCTTGATTCGGTCAGGGAACAAACAGGCCGTACCGTGGATGAACTTGGAGAACTTGGGCACCGCCTCGACCAAGTGCGATGCGATGAGCTGACGCACCCATTCGGGAGGCTCCTGTCCCATTTGGGTCTGCAGTTTCACTTCGAGGACGGCATAGGGGAATCGGACAACATCCTCGGCGGGTAACTGTGAGAATGGCCAGTCGATCCCAATATCCATGCGTCTCCAGTTGTCACCGCTTCGTTGACGTCCGTCGAGATTGTCTTCACGAACCATAGTGAGCTCGGTGTCCAGAGAAATTCGAACTCGAGCGTCCGCTGGCAGCTGGAAGGCAGTTCGGTTGTAAAATGAGCGGCACACAGGCTTATAGCCATGCTTCAACACGGAGTACTGGATTTCGGAGGCCAACCGTTCATCTTCTGCGACAGCCTTCTCCGACTTCTTGCCTTCCTTGCGTGCTTTTTCAAAAATGGCGGCCGGAAGAAGTTCACCACGCATATATGCGTTGACATTCTTCTCCTTGATGGAAAAACGAGCCTTGACGGACTTTTCGCCGGTCCAATCTTCTCGGTGAGTCTTTCGCTCGACGAAAATAGTCTCGTTTTGCATCCCACCATACCATCTTAGTCGTATGGCTTCGGCTCCCTCGGTCTTCTTCAATCGCCCCTCGTACAAGTCCCATTTCTCAGGGTTGTCATAGTAGATAGACGTGATAGCCGAATCCGCCTGCTCAAACTCCTTGCTGGCATTGAACACAAGCACTGGTAAGTGCTTCAGGATGATGAGCTTCAGCTCGGTGACGTTGTCAGGATGGACCCAATACTTTGTTGTCTGACGAACAAAGTTGGCCTGGCCACCTCCGGCAGCACTGTCACCTTTGACAGGGTTGCCACGGGTTCGCACCACATCGTACAGCTTAGACAGCTGAATGACGGAAGCATCGTAATTTTCCTTGTAAAACGGCTTTGCCTTGAGTCGAGTGTCAAAAACAGGACGAAGATGCCAGCCCGTCAGTTTCTTTGCCCATGGTTAGCCATTATCAAGTCAATCGGCGAGTCGCTTCAAGCTTACATCATGCTTCTTGATGATTTTGTAGAAGCCCGTGTAGTTGAGCTGCACAAACTTGGCAAGATCATGGACGTCGGCAATGATGTCGCTCAAGTCCTCCTCCAGCAGCAGAAATTCCTCCTCGCTAGGACCATCCTCTTTCAGGCCACGCTCATTCAATCGATTGACGACATCCTTGACCTCGTGGTCGCTGACTGCAATACGCCTAGAAATCTCCATGGCCTTGACCTGTTGCTTCGTATGCACCTTCTCCAGCTCAGCCTCGAGCTTGCCAACAAATCGAATCTCATCCTCCTCGGTCCACTCGTTTCCAGAGCCACCACCAGCCTTTGAAGGGCCCGTGGCATTTTTAAGCTCGGCCTTCAGACCATTGTAGTCAATGTAATACCACTGATACTCACGGATAATGCTCGACCGGAGCTGCTCGCCGAATTTCATGACGAATACGCCGGGTTGAGGTTTGAGCGTGCCCTTGGTTGAGGCTCTCCAGGAGTTGTTCTGTGTCTTGAAGTCTTTAACAATCAGCATGAGCGACGCAAGGGGGTTAATGGATCGCAAGGGAGTATTTAGAGGACACAGCAGGAAAACACAGCCGACGCCGACCAGGCGGGACAGCAGCAAGGAAAGAAGGTACTGCACAAGCGCACAACTGCAAAACTGCTGCAGGATCGGGCCGGGTGAAGGGGGAAGGCGAAAATTAGTAGCTCACTTCAATTTAGGGACGGACGGCGAATGGAAATGCAGCCAAGGCCTGGCTTGCAGCTGGGACAACGAAGAAGAAAGCCGACGATGATGGGGCACTGGCTGAGTATTGAAGCTCGTGATGATGGGCGGAGGCCAGGACGGAAATTGCATTGGCAAATCACACTTCCGACGACAGGAACGTGCGGGCAAAAAGAGGGGTTGACCCAGCAAGTCCACAGCAGCTCGCTGCTGGACCATGGTGAACCACAGCGCTAATGCTTCTGCCCTTGTTGAAGCTTCCGACCAGCCGGCGCCAATGAGGGCTGCCATTGGTCTGGCATCTGAACCACGCCACCAAAAATGGGCCGCATTCGAGATCTAGCTCGTAGCGGGGCAGTCTCAGTCTGGGCCGCCTTGTTAGGGAAAAAAAAAAAACCAAAAAAAAAAACTGATGCAGGCAGTGCCATCAAATTGAGGCTATTCCCAGGACGCCACGCCGATATTGACGCGTCGCAAAGTCAATTAGTGCGACAGGTCAAATCGGCCATTCCATCGAAGCCCACTCTGTCGGCCGGCATCACCATCACCATGTCCGCTGCCATTGATGACTCCATGCCAATGAGAATATCCTCCGACTGTCCCCAAGACACGCGCGACGTCTTATACCACGCCTGGGGCCACGATCTCTCCGGCCTTAAGAAGCTCCTCGACGTCCCAGGCAAAGCCAGCGCCCAAGATCCCAAAACAGGGGAAACCCCTCTTCACGCCGCCATTCGCGCATGTGGCCCCGCGGGCCCAGACTCGAACGATCCTGAACAAGGCGAAGATGGCTGCGTAGAAGAAGCAAAGGCAGTTTTACAGGAACTTTTCTTCTCGGGAGCCATATGGAACGATGTCGACAGCAACAACGAGACTCCTGGCTGTGTAGCCTATCGATTGGGCCGCAAAGCCTTATACGAGATGTGCGTCGACGCAGGTGTTCGCGCCGAGCTTCTCTTCTCCCTCATGGACGGCTACGAAGAACTATCGTCGGGCTCAGATGTTGAAGACAATGAGGATGAGGCCAAGGATGCTTCTCAGGGCGAAGAAGTCCCAGTCAACCAAGACGGCGACGCCATGGACATTACCGACGACCAGGCTCAACCACAAGACCCGCCTCGTTTCATTCCCCCCGACGCCAATGAGAGAACCATCACGAGCGACGAATACTTATCCTCCGAACTGACCTACGACCCCTCCAAGCTCCTCGATGCAGACCTGAACGGCGTTATGATGTCCTGGGAAACCGACATCATGGCCCGCTCTGTATCCGCCCTCCTCCCAGGCCCCGAAGTTCAAACCGGCAAGCGCATCCTCAATATCGGCTTCGGCATGGGCATCATAGATAGCATGTTTGCCCAAACAAACCCGTCACGGCATCACATTATTGAAGCCCACCCCTCTGTACTTCAACACCTCTCCCAGCCGGATTCCAAGTTCGGCAAAAGCTGGGAGAAGTGCGGCGCGGAGGAGGGCGCCTACAAGGTCTGGGTCGGCAAATGGCAGGAAATAGTGCCCCAATTACTGGAGCAAGGCGAGGTGTACGATGCAATTTACTTTGATACATTCGGCGAGGATTACTCGCAGCTCAGGATGTTCTTTATGGAGTACGTACCCGGGTTGATGGATCAGGAGGGCAGATTTAGCTTCTTCAACGGACTGGGCGCAGATAGACAGGTCTGCTATGACGTCTACACAAAGGTGGTCGAGATGCATGGCGCAGATGCAGGTTTGGATGTAGAATGGGAGGTGAGTGATGTTGATATGAAGGGGCTGAAGGAGGATGGAAAGGGTGAGTGGGAAGGAGTGCGGAGGCGGTACTGGACGCTGGATAGTAAGTTGCCTCGTTTGCTTTTGAGTTGTCGATGTCGTTGACGGCTTGCTTGCTGACTGTTTTAACAGAGTATCGTCTGCCTGTGTGCACATTCATGGGATGAGCGTCAAATAAGTAAAAAGCAAAATAGATAGATGGAAGAGTGAGATGTTATCACGTATCAGAATCACACAGAACGGAGAAAACATGATACCCAACAAGTCAACCACCCTTTATTCAAGTCTATATATTTATCATTTTCCCCCTACGCATGGACTAAAGATCGATTGGTTTTCAGTCATCACGACGTGCCGATTTTTTTCCATATTCTCTTCCTATACATTCATTATTGCCAATTTATTTGAAGTGCTCTGGATGCAGCACTCCAGCAACATTGCCAGCCTTGACTCTCTTCAGAGTCAACGCCGCAATCAAAGCGGCGCCTACACCGCTACCGTCCTCGGCAGCAAGAATCTCAATAGGATCCTCTTCCTTGGGATTCTTCTTTTCAGGCCAGTCAAGAATCTCACGGAGAGCCTGGGCACCACGTTCCTTGAACTGTGGGTACTTGTTGAAAACGGATCCATCAGCACCGACATGGCAGGTCTTAAAGTCCTTCTTCTTGCAGATGGCAGCAACACCAGTGGCAGAGAGGCGAGCAGCACGAGTGCCGATAAGCTCGGCGAGCCGTCGAATGAGCTCCAATTCTGGTCTGGAGCAAGTAATGTTGAGTTTGGAGCTGAATAGGTCAAACGTCTCCTGCAAATTCTCAAAAGGATCCCTGCGGTAATGTACTATTAGCAAGGAATGATCACGACGGAATGAAAGTGTCGGATGCTTACTCTTCAACAGCAGAAAGGAAAGAGGAATCCAGAGAATAAGCTTTGCGCAGCAGGGAAATATCCTGGCCGGCAAAGACATGTACGTCGCGATTGTCGTGCAAATCAACCATGACAAGTCGGAAAATTTCGCCAAGATATAGACCAGCAATCATTTTCTCAAAGGCCTGCTGACCTGGCCGGGGTGAATCACGGTCAATAATCTTGTCAAACTCAGTCCTAGGCAGCACCTTGTGCTCGTTATCGAAAGCACCCCACTCGCAGTTGATAGCCATGGGAGTCTCTGGTGGCAGCTTCATGTGTGCTAGTTTGGGAATAGAGCCAACATCCTCCATATAGGCAGCATTGCAGCCGGTGCCAAAGATACAGCCAATCTTCATCTTTGGGTCAGTGTATGCGGAAGCTATCAGAGTTCCCGTCGTATCGTTGATCAGAGCAGTAAGCCTGATGGGCACTCCCTACAAGGATGCCATTAGCACCTGGTACAGGACAGCTTTGAGATTGCGCATACCTTCTTCTCGAGAGCAGCGTTCAACATTGGAACAATATTCTGCCCTTCGACACCAGCAATGTCGAACCCCTTGGTCCATCTCTGAAGAATACCCTCGTCAATGTAGTTCTGTGTTGCTGGATACGAGAAGGTGAAACCAAGAGGAAGGGTGCCAATGCCAGCGCAACCGCCGTGGTGAGTCTCTACAAACTGCTGCAGACAGTCCGCAATATATTCCCAAAGCTCATCCGAGTTGCCGGTTTTGAGCTCCTCTGGCATGCGATACTTGGACTGAAGGATATCAAATTCGGATTTCTGTTCGGTCAGGGTAATCTGGCACACACGGAGGTTGGTGCCGCCCATGTCAAGAGCAAGGAAGGTGCCGGTTTCATAGCCATCGGGGAATGACATGACCCAGGTTGGGTTCATTGGCTAAAAGAAGATTAGGTATTAATTCGTGCATAAGTGGTCTCGTATGAGAGAGACTCACAATGCTGCCACCCTCGACACTAAGACCTGTGAGAACTACCATTAGCCACTCGTATCGAATTTGTTTCAGCGTGTTGTAGCAGCATACCCTTGGCCAACTCGGAAATGAAATGGTCTGTAATTTTCTTGAGCGTCTGTGTGTCAACTGTGAAGAGATCCTCGAGCCTCTTGACTTCGTTGAGCAGATCCTGGGGAATATCCGCCTTCGAGCCTGCCGCGAGATTGTTAGCCATTGCGATTTGTGAATAGGTTAGCAAATGTAGTTTGGGCAAAGACAGAAGTGTGTCATGAACGATGCGTACATGGTGAAGACATGTTGCAAGGCTCAGCGCTCAGCATTGAAGGACTGATATATAAGTTGTTGCTCAAGTGTTCTGACCCCGCCTGTTTCTCTCAAGCGACACAAACACAGCGCCGCAGTGGCATCCCTGGCCTTTTGATGCCACATGCAAAGCTAACAGGTAAAATTAAAACGCCCGAATCACCGTCGAGTTTCTCATCTGGTGTTACCCAACCGGTCGGGCCGCAAGCTGGCTGAGGACGTTTGGCCAATGCGTCGCATGAGACAGCCCATCTCGTGTTGGTCCAGAAGCTTCGAACCACTTGGTCCGTGGACGACCAGGTCTGCTGGAGACCAAAAAATTCGTCAAGGGCGTGTATAATACGGATAATTGCAGTAAAACGGCCGGAAAATAAAAATCATTCACTTCAACATACCCTTCCTAGAGGGAGGCGGACGAGGCCCAAGACCGACCATTTTGGATTATGACGATGGCAGCGGGGTGGAGGGGTAGCTTGAACCGGAGACGCGCGATCGACTGCACTGGCTGCAATCGACGAAATCTTGGATTCTGTGTTGTTGGTCGTTTTGGAATGCGCGCTTTGAATCTGTGCAGAGGGAACAAAGATGCAGACGGGGTACACAGGAGTTGCCAGCGGGGAGAGCATGCAAATGTGCAGCCGTGGAGAAATGGGAGGGAGGAGGGTGCTGGTGGTGCTTGCGATGGGTGCTGGTATTCGTGGAGACCACAGGCCTGCAGGTGATAAGTAAGACCACACAGCAGAAGCAGATGCAAGTGTTTTA